CATTTAATTATATATCTGGTATAGATTATTTCGGCAATTGGATTTTACTAATTGATCAAGTGTGTTTTTACCACAAATTAACATGAGCTTGTGCAATATTATATTGATGTATTAATACAGAATAGCATTTTATTTATGGAAATTCTGGTATGATCAACATTTTAAATTATAAATTTATTATTTAAATTTATATTAGTATTAAGTTAGTATCATTATTTAAGTATTAAAATATTATAAAATGTTTTACTTATAAAATAATAAATGTTTAGTGTATGTTCAGTGTGTTTAGTGTAGTCTATAACATAATGACCATACAATCTGGTTATAGACTTAGATGAGAGCATCTTTTGATGTTAAGTAAGTTGTGGTGAGAAATAGAAGTAAAACACTGGGACTCTCTCTCTCTCTCTCTCTCTCTCTCTCTCTCTCTCTCTCTCTCTAACAAGTAAATAGTTCTCATACACGCCATCATATGACGCAAAAACAAATTAGCTTAGGAATTTTTTATTGTAACTTATTTATTTGTATTAATATAATTAATTTTATTTATAACAAAGTTGAAAATTACTAATTAATTTGTAAATTTTTAACGATTTTAAATCAATAATTTATATCTTGGTTATTTGTAGATATTTTCCATCGTTGAAATATTTTTAAATAGTTGATATAAAAGTCCCAAAATAATAATTTTAATCATTATAAAATACTATTACTATTATATTGTTAAAATCTAATATTTTTATATAAAATGACAAACAAATATTTAATTAAATAACATAATTAATTGACAAATTAAAAAATCAACGTGATAATAACTTGTTGAATCACTTTTGAGGCACCGAGGCCAATATGTTGATAAAGGGCAATATAATTGATTTGGGCCGTTTTTGCGATGGTAACTTTTTGGGAGTTTTGGGCAAAATTTTACCACATTTATCCGAGTCCTCCGTATAGTCGCCGCAAACCAATGCCAACACATCATTAGCGTAACCGCCAATAATACGCTCCGTCTCCTCGATATGTGATTCCTTACACAAGGGTTCGCCCACTTTTGTACCATGGTTGATTATGCATTCTTTGAACTTGTAGAAATTGCTAGAATATAGTGACCGGGTGTAATATAAAATAATAAATATAGCTTGTAATAATAATTTGCATTGATGGAAATTATTGTTTATTTATTATATGAACTTATAATATTTCTATTTGTTTTAAGTTTAAGATAGCTAGATTACTTGGACAATTCTCTCTCTCTCTCTCTCTCTCTCTCTCTCATGACTTTTAAATTATATAGATTGTATAATTAATTAAGCTTACCAGCATACCAACGGTAATTTCATTTTAACATCAGGGTAGTTTTCAGAGCCCTGTATTTCGTCAATGAAAGTGTACATACAGTTATCGCCGAGGCGTTTAATCTTGTTGGCGCACTTTCCTACTGAAGTAAATGATTCCTTGCGCCTTTTAGTTGCACAATATGCTTTGTGTGTTTTAAGTCCACCTGGTACACCCCATATACATACGAATTTAGCAATTATTGTTATTGAACAAGGTAATTTATTGGCTAAAATAAATAATAGGTAGCCTACCCATTATAGTGCATATGAATAAACTTAAATTATAGTACCAATTTCAAAATAATATTTACACTAGATCATGTGTAGGCTACTTATTATTCATTTGACCCAATGATCACCTATTATTACTAAGTCCGATGTGACAATAATTTAAAATAGAATTACACTTACCATATGCGAGTACATTAGATACTTGTTTGGGAAATGGTGCTAGACACTTATTAGTGTATTCCTTAATACATTTGTCGTACGTTTTGATTTGCCTAGCTCATTTATTGAAAACATAAATAATAAACATTAACATTTACAAATTAAACAGATTACAAAATAACTACCACGATACCATGGTTGGAATAAACGTACCGGCAATGTGTGTTCATCGAGGTCATATTTTCGGGAAATACGTACTTCGGGTCGCCAAACAATAACAAATTCATGAAACACGTGTCAATACTATCGGTACCAGTTTTGCAAGAATTTTTGTCGGACTTTTGAGCATGGCCAAATTTAAATGCCATGATCAGTATAGTGAATGTAAGGCAGTGTAGAATTATCGTTAAATTCATTGCCATTTTTGTAGTTTATTTAAATAGTATTCAAATATTATTTTAAATATTCTAATATTTATTATAATCATAAATACAAGTCCCTGTTAAATTAAAATAAATGAATTTTATCAAAATAATCTTGCAAACGTAAAGTTACAAAATTGTATCTAACGTTTTTATTTAGGGCGCACAAAACATACTCAATAAATATGGTTATGGTGATATTTATTTTAAGCGTAAATTATATTAACAATTAAATGCATCAAAAAAGCAAATTTATTTTATAAAAACTAGTTTTTCTGATCAATTAATTTGTATAATTTAATTTTCTTAGAATTGCAGCAAATACAGTCCCATTTCATTTATATATACAGTGTATGACAACAATTGAATTATGGTTATATTGGCATTATATTCATGGTTAGATAAACGATAGTAATCTGTGCATTGAAATAATTACCATAGCATTGAATGTAATTGAAGATTATTAAAATAAACGATTTGTATGACAACAATTGAATTATGGTTATATTGGCATTATATTCATGGTTAGATAAACGATAGTAATCTGTGCATTGAAATAATTACCATAGCATTGAATGTAATTGAAGATTATTAAAATAAACGATTGAATGCCATAATTAAGGTAAGAAAAATTCCCAATGGATTGTATCACATGTTTTTTAGCAAGGGCATATAATTGTGATTGTGATGTCAATTGCTAGACATATAATTAAATACTGCTATGATTATTAGATATTTGACTATTTTTGATAACATCATGATGTTAATCTTATTTCTCTCTCTCTCTCTCTCTCTCTCATTATCTCACACACACCTACATATAATATAAAATAAAATGTGTATAATTATTACAAAAATTATTTTATTTATTGTAAATATAACTTATAAATATAACATAAGCCAATAAAACAAATTTATAAATTATAACCATATCCAAAATGAATAGTATTTAAAACTAAACTTATTAAATAATTTCTTACAGTTCAGCATAACTAACGAAGTAAATATATAAATAAATGATGCTTGATAATCATAATTATGTAATAATCATAATAATTAAATGCAAAAATGTTACATAAAGTGAATAAAATGCTAAATGATGATGCAAATAATAATATTGAACACCATGGTAAATTATGCAATTTACTGTTCATCGGCAGCCAATATGTTAATAAGTGGTAATAACAATGATTTTGTCCGCTTTTGTGACGACAACTTTTTGGGTGTTTTGGGGACAGAGTTCTGGCATTTGTCGGAGTCCTCGGTATAGTCGCCGCAAATCAGTTGCAAAACATCGAAAGCGTAGCCATCGATGAGCCGCTCGGCCTCGTTGTAGACACTGTCGGTGCACAACGGTTTGCCCTCCCGTTCAATGTGGCCCAGAATGCATTGTTTCATTTTGTAGTACTCGCTGTAAACATGGTAATCAAGTTATATTGTCGTGTTTATGATTATGGTTATTAATATATGTATTATGAATATTTTTGTCTAGTTTAATTGTAGGTAAATTTTTATGTTGAGTGATTGCAATGAATAAAATACCTTGGTTGTTCAGTAATATGCCAGAAAGTTATATGTACAGTATTTATATAGGTTTTACTCACCAACATGCCATAGGTAATCTCATTTTAACATTGCGGTAATTTTCGGCACCCTGTAGTCTATCAATATACTGGAACATGCATTTGTCCATGGGCGATTTCATTTTGTTGGCGCACTCGCCAATCATTATAAATGACTCTTTGCGTTTTTTGTTTGAACAATAACCCTTGTTCGTTTTGGCCACACCTCATTAAACATCATAGTTAAAACATTCAAATAATTTATACAACAATATATGACCTAATACAATAAAACATACCATAAGCTAAAACACTGGTCACTTGTTTGGGAAATGCTTTCAAACATTTACTCGAGTAGTCTTTGATGCACTTTTCATAGCCTCGAATAGTACTGTATATCACAAAAAAATCCATTAAATACTTTTCATTTAGGTAAATTAAATGATTATAATTTTACATTATTAATTTAATGCAAATTTAAAATGCAAGTTAGTTAAAAACACTTACCGACATTGTGTGTCCATTTGTGGCATACTGACCGGGAACACATATTTCGGGTCTCCAATCAGCAATAAATTCATCAAGCACGTATCCAACACAACTGTTTTACATGCTTTACTTGTGCTATTAGTTTGGCCATTTACCACGTACAACGTGCATACAATTAACAATAATAAAATTTTTGCTAACTTCATTATGACATAAAACAAAAATGTATAAACTTTTTAACAAGTGTTTAGCGATGTTTTGCTAAACATAAAATAATGTTTAGCTAATATGATCACGGCTACTTTAAATAGTTAGATAATATTATCTAATATTATGATCTATCTCAATCCAATATTTGGGACTGACTTTCACTGGGGTTACGAGGTCTGTAAAATCAGCTATGATTTAAAGTATTTCTATCTAGACGTCTTAATATTAAAGCAAAACTCTTGGTAATGGAAAATTTAAAAAGGTATATAATGTTTCAAAAACTATTTAAATACCTAATGGCTAATATTTTGAATGGCTTTTTATTGCTATTTTTAGGTATTAATAAAAATAAGATAAAATGTTTAAAAAATAAAACTTGTTTTTATGTTTTAAAACTCTATATACCAGTACAATAAGCACCTTGAATATATAGCGACGATGGACTGTATTTTTTGGTTAAGTCAATGTTTATACAAAAAGCATTGAAATCAATACTTTTTTGAGTGTTATATACTAAAAATTCTGAGAGAGAGAAAGAGAGAGAGAGAGAGAGAGAGAGAGAGAGAGCTATTGAAAGTCAAGTGTTGTGCAAGGACATTTTTGGCATTTATTAGATGGGTATGAAAGGGTATGTTTAGTCAATCACTAGACAACCACAATATTGGATAACACGATGAATTTTATAAAATGTTATTTAAAAAGACATAATAATTGCACAACTCATCTCTCTCTCTCTCTCTCTCTCTCTCTCTCTCTCTCAAAGCTGTCACAATTATAAATCATAAAACCACTAAAATATTTTATTTCAACTTGTTATTTTATAATTTACTTAACCACATTTAAAAACATTTCTTATTTTTGGTGCGAATAGTATTTTTGAAACTATTTGTTTAAAATATACTTTTTCTTGTTAACAAAAAAAAACATACAGAGACCTTGATTAATTCAATGTCATCAATTATTTACGATTAAACTAGCCTAATAAAATAACTATAAATTAAGGATATTTTATGTAAATTGCAATTTTGTTATTAATTTGTTTGTGTTAATATTTTTTGCATATAACAAAACATTTAATTATTACATTAATTATTTGATTTATGAATATAAAAATTGTTTTTTACACGATGGTAATTTCCACTAAAATAATTAGCAAACAATTTTTTAATCAAAGTAAATTTTTTATTTTATACACCTATTATAGCAAACTCTAAATTAAAAATAAACAATTAATCAAAAATAATTAAATAAATTAACATCAGATTTTGTATTTAATAATAGTCTAGATGTTAATATTTTATTAATTTAATTTATATAGTTTAGAATCTAAACTTTAGATTCTCCCTAAATAATCTAATTAAATTATAACAAACTTTATGGCACTTATAATTTAAGTTTAATCAAATGAAAATTTATATTTTATAATAATTTATTATTCAATAATATTTTATATGATTTTTTAACTATATTTTTAAACTAAAACAAATAATTAAGATTATGTGTCTATAGTTAAGTTAATAATTATATAATGTACTTTGCTATACTTTCATTTAATACCTTATTTATCATATTGTTTTTGTAAACGAAATTTATATTAAATGCTAAAATTTAAATTTTGTTTTTGGTTAGTGTTTTGATTCCGAGAAATACAAAATAACTATAAGAATAACATTTAGTCTTAAATATAGTCTACACTACAACTGATCGACTCTTTTCGCACAACAATAAAATTAATGAAATGCCCGGACCCTCACAAATGCAATCAATAATTACAGTTTAAAGGCATTTGTGTTAAACAGACTTATTATGGAATAACAGATTTATTATGGTAATTATATTTTAAGAAAACATAGTATTGCTCTCTCTCTCTC